GCGTCTCTTGTAAAAAAATCCACGAATATTGAATCTTAACATGTGATTTGTAGAAATAAGTATATCATTTTACCTTGCATAAGTATTTACTTTAATAAATGATTAAAATAACTCAATCAATTAAATTTCATTTGACTTAGAAACTAACAACATTTTTGGGGAGGTATTACAATATTTGTGATACCAAATCACACAATTTCTACAAATAAAGTAGTTATCAGTAAACTTGTTGTAAATTAATTATGTTTCATTAATTTAAAATATAACGTAGTTTTCAACAACAACAAAAAAAAGTCAAGAATTAAACGCAGTCAATGTTTAAATGCTTATATATGTAATTCTAAGTTATAATTTGTTAGCGTCGAATTAATTAAGCTTGTGTTCAATTTCAAAGTAATAACCACGTTATATACGACACCTCAAAATTCTAACTACATTTTAACTATTTATGTGATGGTTTAATAATTCAGTTTGAAATTTTATCTTCTAGGGTTTAGTTAAGATACATTTGATAACGTTATATTAAGCATATTACAGTCTTTAATTCTTTGCCACCTTGCACATTTATATCGATGTGTTAGTTGGTGTTAGTGCAGAAAGCAAACTATACTGTATATTTATAATTCTACGTATAATAAAGAAACGTTAATTCAAGAGAAATACTGTCACTTTAGTTACAAAAACAAAAATACTACATATATGAGTCTGACATCAAGTTTTAATTAATTAGTTAAAATAAAGATGTGCCATATATATTTCCATTGTGTGCACAATGGGTTTATAAATGACATCTTGAAACAAGCGTTTGAAACATAATTCTCAGTAGCTCAAACTACTGGCTTTCTGACTCAGCTATCGATTAAGTGTTCAGATATAGCAAATTTGCTATCAGACTATAATACGGTACTGAATCCATCGTGGGATTTTAATGACGAGTATGTACGTGTATAATTATATATAGTGTTGTCTTAGACATCTATATTAACAAAATAAAATGTTTTACTATCATACAGTTTCAGTTTGAAAAAACTTTTTGAACTATCCACCATAAATAGCTAAAATGCTCTAGAACATTTCAAAGCATGTAATTATTGAACTTTGATGATGGTTTTCTCTTTTGGAGCTCTACCCATCAAATTGTACACCCATGGGTTATCTTTCCAATCAAATTGGAATTTCATTTGTTCATAAATACGTTTTTCTTCTCAAGTAAGATGCATTTACATGTTTCTAACAAAGAAAAACTTTAAATCTACATCGATCTGTAGGAGACATATTAATCATGGAAGAGCATTTCCAAACTAACTTTCAGTTTACAGCAGGACTCTAACCTTAGATATCATATTGAGTTCCACAGCATAACTAGTTGGTGTTGGTTATTAAACACAAAACTACACAAAGGGCTAACTGTGCTCTGCTCACCACGGGTATCGAAACCCGGTTTATAGTAGTATTAGTCCGAAGACATACCACTGTGCCATTGTGGGGATAGCATAACTAATTTTCCATACTAGCTTTAACTTACTGAAAAAGTAAACACTTATATGTTACTTAATTAAATTCAAAAACTTTAAAAGTATTAATTTTATCAAGGTTGGTTGCTTAACCTAAGCAATCTTCCAATTTAGATGAAACTTTCCAGTTAGATTAACATACGTAACAATATATTTTTCACTACGAATTTAGTTCCGCTATACAATATTTATTCTAAAATATATGTTGTCTAATACACACAGATACCTGTATTTTCAGTAAAATGTAAATAGCTTTGCGAAGTAGCACATAAATGAATGTAAAAAATATATCGTGCAAAAGTTGATGACATCTATTGCTACTATACAGCAACTTACAGAATCTACGAAAAAAAGAAAGATTTCGATTTAAATTTTATTTATTTATTTTGAAGTGTTAAGTAACAGCTAAGTCTTTCTATAGTAATGAGAATGAAGATCAACTATCCAGTAAGTACTTATTATACAATAATAACATATACATGTATGATATCATAGAAAGATAGTTTCTAAATTAATTATAAATGAAAAACTCCATATGTATTGTCACACATTGTGAACAGAATGCAATATAAGTGTTTAGAGTACACTAATGATGAGAATTTGAATGGTGCGGTATTACAAATTAACTTATAAACGTTTAAAATCACAAAAGGTTTGTTTCACGCATCCTCAATGGACAGCTATATATCTTTTGTTATCAATAGAATAAATTGATAACTAGTTGGAGTACCCGTACCCTGAACGGAATTTATGTAAATTCATGATTAATGAAAGGTTATTTTAGAACATGAAAAGTTGTTTTCCTTATATGTAACTGTAAAAAACGCCCATAAAACTATAAAACACAACATATGAAACTACAAGTTTGCACGTATCTCCGCGTGTACCCAACAAACCTTCATTCCAAATTTGGTAAAGATCCATCAACAGGGGGCGAAATAGTGGTAAAAAATGCTCATTAAAACTGCAAAACCGCATGGATCTAATTGAGCCTCCATGTCAATTTTGGTGAAAATCCATTCATACCCTGCGAAGTAGTTACTTGGGCAAACAACAGACAGTACTATTATATTTATATAAATACAGCGTCGAATCAGAAACTACAACAAAACAAAATCCAGACATATTAAGAATGAAAAATGTAAAACTGAATTAATACAATTATAGGCCGTGCTATTAAAAAATTTTAAGGGGTTAAATAGTTTCATACAGTGCTTTCTAACAGAAATATGGTCTTGAAATAATAATAAACAAAACAGTTTTATCAATGTAGTAGGTAATAACAAATCCTTAAATCTAACGATAAATTACTCCCTATTTCTTAAAGCTTCTTGTCGTTTCTAATTTTCTACAAGAAGTAGCACCTAGGTAGGTTCTCAGAAATTATAAATAGCAATCAGAATATGCTAAAGCCATATCAGATAATATTAATGCTCTTTTCGTATTCTTCAATTTCTAATAATAAAACGCAATACATAACATTATTAAATTTAAGACTATAAGTATTACGATTCTTCGTTTATTAGAGACCACAGTGTAGGGTAACCTTCAGTATTGAAACAATCAAAATTCTTAACTACACAGGAAAAGAGAGACAGTTAACTAAACCGACTTATACATATAAGTAAACGATCACATATGAATTACGACAACACAAAATATGAGATCTTCCTCTGTAAAATAATACAATTAAGAACAGAAATCATATTACGTTTTAACTTATAGGTTTTTCAATAATCGTTTATAAGTGAGAGATTATGGTTATGCTTTCATCGTTTTTTAAATTAATAAATTTTACACAGCTTTTCAAATCATGATTAATAAAATGTATTAAGTTATTTATTTATGGCATAAGAATATACATATATACATTTTTTTTTCATTTAGTTTATTTCTCCAATTACGTTGTGCACATTATGATAGGCTTCTTATTTGTTCACAGTCGTGCTTCCCTGAGAAGAACATTAGTCCCAGACATTTTCATTACTGCTTGTATGACTCCTGAATTTTCAAAGGTGTTTTAAAATAGTGTTTTCCGTCCAACAAGAAGGGAAACCTACGATTAAACACACAGAGTGATACTATATCATGATAGGATTTTACTCTTCTGAGTATTGTTCATCTACAGAACAGACGTGATATTCATAACAAGCTGTATGTAGATTCCCAACTTGTTCTACTTCTATTTCTGCTTGGCCATGTTTCTCATGTTACCTGAATCTTGCCAAATTTTTTAAAGCACTTAAACTTTTTTCTTACTGTAAATGACCGTTCTTGTGTGAAAGGGTGATCGTAGATACCTCTTTTATAAGTTATGACTTTCAAGCACTGTATCATAATTCTTTGAATAGGATTGCAAAATATAAATTGTTATATGATAGATATTTGTCAGAATGTTTTTAAAAGCTATTATTTTTACTTATGATAGGAAAACTATGAGCGTGGGCCTTTTGATACTTATATACATCTAAATTAAATACGATTATGTTTTAAGTTATTAGTACGTAGAAAGTAGGTAATGAATTATCTTATTAAATTGTGATTTATTTTAATATCTGGAGGAATTTTTGGTAATTTTTAATTACCTTGAAGATGCGTTTTACGTTGATTTCAACAAACTTCAAGACATTATTTTAACTTCCAAATTGTCAGTAATATCTGTAGTTATTCTTATAGTAGTGATTTTTCTCTTCTCACCACGACCAGTTTTAATATCTATAAAAACAACGTATTAGCCTCAATGGTTATCCCCATAGTACATACATTCCAGGCTTTGTAAGCAGTTCTATTGAGAGCTGCAACGAACAGTGTTCTAGAAGTAATTATTTGTGTCCATTTAATTATTATGATTTCGTAAATTTATTAATGTATATTAAAAACTAGATATTTCTGTTTCTAAAATTTAGAATTTGAATACAGATAAATTCTCGTAATTTTTTTTAATATTTCATGGAGAATAAGCGATCACGATTCCATTTGATTGATGTTCTTTCAACTGAGAAATATATTTCGTGAAACAGACAACGTTAATTTCATCAAAGCTTTTATACCTTAATTCCATACGATATTTGGATTTTCATCTGAGGGACACATATTTTCTTCGTTTATCATGTTTTCTTCCAAAAGAGAAACTTTACATATTTAGAATAACAGACTAGATACAAAGAAGGTAGTTTGTGAAAATGTTTTCTACTTTTTATTTACTTTTGGTGCCACAAACCTTGGAATGAATAAAGTTTTGATATTTTCTGTTTGAAAATGGTACCGTTTATCAGTTATTCCTGTTAGACAATTAAAAAGTCAAACTTTAGAATTTTACTTAACAAACTAGGTTGTTTTAGAGCAACGCCATGTTTGGATATCTGTTATCTTTAGATATCTTTAGAGTTTAAGTCCATAAACTTGTTGCTGTCCCACGGCGAGACTAACAAACTTTTAAGTGTTCCAGGAGACTACATTTAGGAATCGAAACAAACCCACAACGTACTGGTTTGGAAAATACGGACAAACCTTTAATTTAAAGATACCATTCCAAACAACACTTATAAGAATTAAATACCATTTTCCATTATATTTCAATTGAAAGAGCCGTGATAAAGCGTGGAACACTAATTTCGGAACTTTCCTGATTAGTGTCGAACAAAATACAGTATTGCATGTAACATAAATATGTAGACAATTATTTACATATATCTGTTATATTTATAACTTCATGTCCTTTAAACAAATAAGAAGTATAAAATGTGCAGAATGTGCAGGAATGATTGAACATATATACATTTACTATCACAACAAATCAGGAAGTTTTCTACATCTACAAGTTAAGAGCTATAAGTAGCACTTTAAAATTAACTTTTATAAACGTTTTATCTATTTAAGCTAGTCCTTCAGGGGTTTAACCCAGTAAAGATAATAAAACAAATAATAAAAAAATATATTTATGGATATTAAACACTATCTTACATGTGTAGCAATACGAAAAAAAGGCGTTAGATTTAGAATAAAAGGCAGTTTAACAAAACATAAATAAGGAATGAAAGGCAGTATTCTTAGCGAAGCTAAAATATAAACATAAACTCTTAGCAAAACATAAAAAAGACCCACATTTTGAACAGATGAAGATAATTTTTAAAACATGTTGCAAACACAACTGTTTTCAAAAAATTTGAAAGTCGACACTTTCAAGCATTAATTATTAAATCATCTTTACAGTTGACATGACGCAGTACCTTTTACACAACATTGAAACCTTTAGAGAGATAATCATTATATTTATAAATATCCAGATGCGTACCATACTTTGTACAATTAAAATGATAAATGTGCTTTAAATATAACATAATACAACATCAATATACTGGTAATATATTGAATGAAAACAAGGTATTTTTTTGAACACTGACGTAGTTTAAATTCTCAGAAACTGATTAGGTTTGGATTAAACGCTTCCAACTTTGAATCCATCATTAATTATATTATACTTTACTTTTAATTTTCTTAACTGAAACTTTTTGAAAGATCTGCGGTCAAAACATTGTTGTCGTAAATTTCCAAGCAAACTTTTGCATGCCTCTGTCTTTTTTTTTTCGTCTCATTTCGGTTCTCAAAATAGCCATCAATTTTTTAACTCTTTTCTTTTTAAATGAATTAAGCCAAACTCTTGATCATTGTTCAGTAAGTTTATCAAACCTTCTAACTGTTCACTTGATATCATAAAGACTCCTACAAGGCACAGTTTTAAGCACTCCCTATTTATGTGATGGAATTGGTTCAATCGTGCGGAAAAAAAAAGAAAATTACACTCACATATCTTGCTCCTTTTTTTCCCTAATGCTTCCCTATATAATTCATGTTCACAAAGTTTGTCAATAAGTGCAGCTGATTTTGTTGAATGATAATAATTCAGACCCACCAACTATAGTGTAAACCTGCACATTTTGGAGCTAAAGAAAAAAAAATTCTGATGCCCTCAGTACATGTTTTTCCAGCTTTTCTCAAATAATACATGAGCAAATCATCCAACATTCTTCATGTACTGTCCCGTTAAAGAATATTTAAGCTCATTCATCACATCCGGTACAACAGAAGAACGAAAGTGACCGTAATCCAACATGACTGCCTTATAATGATCCCCACGTTTTTCACTGAAAAAGAAATCTATTTTATAGTTACTATTAATATACTCGTTTACTTTTAAGAATAGTAAAAACGATTTCACTCGCAGTATCTATACTGTATGCGAAAATAAACACTTGATATAATGTATTGAAACTATCATAACCTTGTTAAATCAAAAACTTGAAAAAGTGATTTAGAAGAGAAACAGAATCCATCTTTTTCTACTGTGCCAAAAATGATTAATCGTTTAATATTATTCCTTTGAAGAGATAATAATATTAAAGAAAGCTCCTAGAAAATTTTCATTTAAATATTATAGCTGTGACTAATAATAACATTCCTATATCAATATATCTAACGCACAAAAAAGTGAACTTTCCACAAATAACTAATGTGATGGTTGTTCATAAGTTACATGGTTATGTTTTATTTACACGATTTTTTCAAAAATGCACTGAAACATAAGTCGGTGTGACTAGAAAATGGGCGTTTTTCTGATAGTGTTCTAATAGAATGTGATAAAACAAACTGTATGAGGTTAACTATAATAGACCTAGATAAGAAACAAAATCAATTCATTTTGGATGCTTTGACAGTATTCTATCAAAATAAATGAACCCCAAACTGGAATATTTTAATAAGTTATAATAGTTGGAAGTCTTAGGAGATATTTATCAATTTGTTAACCACTCCATTTATATCTATAATCAAAATATAGTAATGATGTATAAGCTCGTATTACTTGATATTTTAAATGTAGTGACGTAATAATACAGTACAAAAGAGTGGGTTATGGAAAATATTTTTCTGAATTTTTCAAATAGTTTCTTTGACCTCTTTAATAGTGGGCAATTGACAGGGAATAAGTCTGGCATTAGGGAAATAGAAAGGTAATGGGAAAGAATAAGGATTTTTTCCAAATTTTTCATGGTATTAGTGCTCCGTTTAGAAGTGCCATTATCTAAAACCGTTTCTTTGACTACCTGCTCAACTACATCCGCTATCAGAGTCTTCTGGCAGAGGCATTGGAAAAGAATAATTTTCTAACAGTTAATAAAATTGCAACACTTAGTCACTGGTACTTACCAAATGGAAATAGCCTGGACAGTAGGGTGGTCGTTAATTGTAAGTAACATTTCAGGTTAGAACTTCTAAGTCTTTCACCCCTAATTTTGTTCCAATGAATAAAAGACATTAAATACCAAATTTCACCCATTTTCGATCTTATTTAAAGGTTGCTTAATGATGATGAAGTTCTAGACTGCAGTGACCTGATACCGTATGTACTTCTAATATAAAACATATTTTTATGTATTATAAATTATCTATTTAAATTATATTATTATTTTATTGCAAGTACAATAGTAAATTACATAAATATATGATTTTAGTGGGATTAGTCACTTTTTCCTTGTTATTGTTTCTTTTTTGCTGTTAGGAAGGCGTCTTCTGTGGCCCTGCAAAGTTTGAAGGAGGAATTGTTTGTTCCTCTTTTTTTGTTATGATGGTATTATACTCCTCAATAAAGGCCACACCCTTTTCAACATTGTTATTTACTACAATCAAATGTTGAACTGTCTGTAGTGCTTCCCTGTAGTCCTCTCTGAACATCCATGGTTCTGAGTCAAAATCCAGAAATCCAGATTGAATTTATTCAATTGACATGACTTCAGACTTCCTGATATTCAGCTAGATGGGACTTGTAGGTTCATCCATGCTTTTCTTTTCATTTAATGCCTTTACAATTGCTCGTTTCGTCTCTGTGAATACAACTGAATCAAATAATGGCAAACCAACGAATTCCTTTTGAGATATCACAGATGTGCAGCAAATGTTTGACAAACAGATTTTGAAGAAGCAGAATTTATGTTTTTATATTTAACAAGACACTGTATAAAGTTAAAATCATTGCTAGGTGCAGAAGAGCAGCAAACCACGCCCTAAGATAGATTCGAACGACAAAGATGCAGATGTCACTGAGTCTTCTTTCCTCTCGACCAGTGAGCTCAAACTATCCCATAAATATCCAGATCTTGAGGACATATAATGGCTTGACCATCCGTCATACATGATGCAGTGTTCCCGGTGCTATAGATCGTATTACACGAGGGAGTGTGCCACCAAGAAAGGTGACGACTAGTCCAAGAAAGTCTTGATAGTCGTTTCTAAGTTACCCGACTTTAAGTTCTCTTGTAGAAATTCTAGAAACTACTGTCATGTTATAGAGAATATTTCAGAACCAAAAAATGACAGCATGGACTACATATATTTGGAATGTTCTTGAACATTCTGAATAATGTGGAATACTATGGGATATTCCAGAATATGTTACACTATTTCAGAATGTGCTAGAATATTCTATAATAACATACTATAAAATTCCAGAATAAATAATTTAGACCCTTTCATAATTATTTAAAATATTCTGGATCATTCTAGAATATGCAGATATATGTTGAGGTACAAGGTAAAATGTCAACTACCTTGAGCAACTCTTAAATGTTATTCAAATTGAATAACATTTGATGTGAATTTTCTTTTTAACTTATAGGAACAAAATGAAGGTGTGAGAGTGTTGTAAATCAAAACTTCAAAAATGAGAGCTATCCTATAGGACAAGCAAAAACACCAGAATGTATCCAAATTAACTGATTCTTTCAACATGAAGACGATTTGACAATGTGAAAAATACTGTAATCACGTGACAGACAACAACCTGTTGAAAAACTGCTTATCTTGGATGCAAGGAAAGTACGGCATTAATGGTGCTTTAAGAAAGAACTATCGTCAATAAATGATTGAAAGTGTATAATATGATCCCATGATTAACGTTTCGCTATTTTTCTCAGTCAACTAAGAATATATGAGATATTTGACATTGCTTCTTTGATGAAGGTGGTGTAATGTGCGGGAACGTTTTAATGTTCTCCATTGTCCGTTGATTTATTCAGAAGGAAAAACTATTTCCAGCGTGTATCTAAACGCTTTAACTGATCACGTGCAGCCCATAATGATGGATTTACATTCTGATGGACAAAGGTTATTTCAAGTCAAAAATGCAACTATACATCGTTTGTTTGTTTATTCACATCCTCAGCAGGTCAGAGTCTTCTATGGTTCTGGTTTATTAGTCCATAATTTTCAACAACAAATCCAAGAGAATGCAACCAGTCGTCAGGACCAGATGCCTACGTTTGAATGAATAATGAGACTGGAACCATTTTCCTTAATGAGTGCACTATAATCGAACAAAAATTTTTCAAAGTTTTCTGGAGTCTATGCTAATATCTTGATGAAGTATTGTAGAACCGGACATTAGGTAGGAGGAGGCTTAAAAATCACAAGTCAATGTATATAAGTATGTAGAAGAAAGAATATATAGATGTAGATGTAAGATGTATATATATATATATGTGTGTGTGTGTATTTAGGTGGGTTTCTATTTTAATATTAATATATATATAGTGGCCTAATTTATTTACGTTAAAAAAATGTTCCACAACTTAATCTAATTTAATAGAACTCCCCTCCCAAGTCTGCTGTAAAGCATATGTAATTTCATCTGTTACTCCAAACATCATGAATAAAGAAAATAACGGCGTAATAATATAAACCACTATGCATATTATTCGTTTATAACATACTTTATATTACGTGTTTGTTCACTAAGTTGTCTAATTTGTTATATTTTATTAGTATGCCTCTTACCGTGATGTACAAAATATACAGCGAAGTTGAGAAAATGATTTATATTTTTATATTATTTTATATAAATCATCACTTTATTTCCAATACGTTACCTGTGCTTCCATTCTCTGATACATGCAGCCCCGAACTCTGTTGATTACCACCAACAATAATCTCTTCACTGTTAGTGTCAATCACCTTAGATAACGTAGCAGTACACTTTAGTCTCATTTCACCCTTGTGGAAGTGGTGCCCTCTTACGACAAATTTCAATCCTAGAAGTGATGCTTTCTGTCCATTTGTATAAACCTTAGGTTCGTAGGGTACGGTAAAGTCTAGACTGGCCTGAATTAACAATAAAAACTGATACTATCGAAAACAAGAACTTGAACATAAACGAAATCGATATAACTGACAATACTGTGGACCAAATATAAACATTTGAAGAATGTTCCAAGATCTGTTTTGTACATGTGTAAACAGACGCACACAAACACACATATACATATACACACAAAACACTTGGTTCAATAAAACTGATTCTTTAAACAAGCTAAATGTTAAACAACACATAATTTGCACTTACTTCAGAATGTGGAAAGGTTCATGAGATATTCAAATTATATGTGCAGTAAAGAAGCATAAGAACAATACACAGTTCTATTACAGTATTTTAATCTCGTTTACAGAGCTGCTTGAACAATTCTTCAGCACCAAGTTTTCATAACATACAAAATTGTTGTATTAAACTTATACAAAGGCAACTTTTAATTCAAGAAGACACAGAAAATTTTTGATAAAACTTCTACTAAAAGGAATTAGAATGCGAACTTGTTATTTAGTAAGTTCATCTTAATAAGTTTAGTGGATTAAGCTTAGTAAGTTTGCATAAAATAGTTTGCTTGATATATCATATATTTAGCGTAGAATAAAAATATCACTGCGAAAGAAAAAGCGTTTATAGTTTCTAAACTGTTTGTGCATTATACTACGAACAATACATTGAAGAATACGAATACATTAATATGGAAGCGTTTGTAACGTTCAGCTGTTGTGTTCTGGTAGAGCTGAGCAGCCAAAGTAATCAAAGCCTTCTCTAATATTCATGAGGTTGTGCGAGGACATATTCTACGTCAGGATGTAAACGCGTACATAATCGATTAATAAAGTTTTTTTTTAATTTAGTTGTTAAAAGAATTCACTTCCTCTTGAGATATTAAGTTGGATCTAAAATATCAGTATGTATTTCCATTATGAGGTAAGAAGGAAAACATAATTTGTACGTTTTTATTTTAACCGTGGGCTACTGCGCTGATATTTACTATTTCACTATTTCAAAGAGACCCATTAAGCTTACATAGTTGCTTGAAACTATATATTCAAAAAAATCTAGTAATACGATTACTGTATAAATCTGGAAGAAAGTTATTTACAGAATAAAAGCTAAGTAAAAAACAACAGCAAAAAAAAATTATGGCACGTATAGTTTAAACACAGAAAGTTTTAGTATGTACTCTTTAGTAACGGCTTACTATGCATATATCACCATAGATTTATCCGAACTGTAAAAGGCTTCCTACGTAATAATCCAAAAGAGGTTTTATTTTTCCGTGTGTAAAAATTGAAAATTCTGCTTAAGAACATAACAAATGACAGCTGGACCTTTCTTCGTTTTCTTATGCTGTAGCTTACGTGTTACAAAATGCTTTTTTTATCATCATTTTTATCATTGATTCGAAGAACTGATGTTGAAATGAGGACTTTAAATACAGCTCTTTTACAAAAATAAATACATATAAAATTTCACAGTCAAATATCATATATATGTTTGTTTGTTCATAACATAATGTGAATGTGATTTAAAACAGATATGTTTCATTAATGTCAGGCCACATCCTTCCTGCAACAAAAAGACAAATTGGAATACACACACACACACACACCCAGCACACATAACATTATATAGATATATAAAGTACTTGCTCGTAAAAATGTTATTGTAATTAGAAGTTTTACACATATGGATAAACAAACAAAAACTAATACCTGGTGTATTTCATCAAAGGTAAAAGTGTAAAGAAACTAAAAGTTAATTATCTAGTTGTTAGTAAACGCTTTTTGGTATAATTTATTTTACCTTTTTGTCGTTTATGGACCAAGATAGTTTGGCTGGCGTAAGGGATTTTCTCGAAGTGCAATTGACGTCAACTTCATCACCTACTTGGTATTTGGTTAAGCCACCTTCAATGCTTGGCCCATCAATTGCTGAACGGCAGGATATTCAAGAAACAAAACTGATTTATTAAGATAAGAAATACTACTTTGTCTAATAAATGTTTTTTATATTACACGTAACCTAGCATACATACTCTAACGCAAGTCCAAGCAATTATCACAACAGAGAGATTTGAAACTAGATTTGTCATCTTCGACTTTCCTTCCTTTTTATACCAACTTTTAGTAAATTATCCTTATATAATTTCTGTAGTACATATTGGTGTATAGAAGAGATTTTAATACTAGAAATAAACGATCTAAAAATACCAAATTGGACACTCAACGTTTCGTACGGTACTATAAAGTCTAGATTGGCCTGAAATAATAATAATAATAAAAACTGATACAAGCACTATAAAAAATAGAAGATGAACATAAACGAAATCAATATAAATGACAATACTTTGAACCAAATCTTAAATTAGTTATGAAATATAAAACATTTTAAGAATGCTCCAAGATCTGTTTTCTATATGTGTAAACACACACACACATATAAATATATATATACAAAACACTTGGTTCAATAAAACTGATTCTTTAAACAAGCTAAATGTTAAACAACACATAATTTGCACTTACTCCAGAATGTGGAAAGGTTCATGAGATATTCAAATTATATGTGCAGTAAAGAAGCATGAGAACAATACACAGTTCTATTACAGCATGGTAATCTCGTTTACAGAGCTGCTTGAACAATTCTTCAGCACCAAGTCTTCATAAGACTTCATTTGGTGTTATAGGGTCGGTTATTTCTACTATTGAATTATTCTTTCATTTTGAAGAACTGGTCATCTGTGGTTTGTTCGCTTTACACACACAACCCTTTCACTCTTCAAGTCAGTCCGTTGAGCAGATTTTCTTTAGTAAAGTTACGATCGACTGGGACATGTTGAACTAGATTAAATACACTAGCGTCATATATTCACACAAGTTGTGCTATTGTGTTCACATCTAGCTGGAACTTGCCACATATTAAACACGACTTTAGTTTGTTTGTGTTTCTGTAATTTACAGTAGTTTACATTATTAAAATTTAAATAATTCAATATTATAATTATAGTATTAACTAGATTAATATATAACATTAAGTTTCTTAAATAGTAATAATTACACTGGATAAATTTACTAGGCATGATACATGAAGCTCTAGATGTGACAGTTTTTCTTCGGTACTTGTTAATATCGCTAAGCAGGCCTAGCCTCGTTCTTCGGTACTTGGTAATATCGCTAAACAGGCCTAGCCTCGTTCTTCGGTACTTGGTAATACGCTAAGCAGGCCTTGGAGAAAAGGTCGAGAACATCGCTAGCAGCGAGAATATCCAACTGATGGCCTAGAGTGGAGTGGCCATAGAATCTTTCTGTAGCTTGACTATTGCTCATAATTAAGACCTTACTATTAATTGTAATTATTGTTGTATAACTTTTGACAGTTTTTTGGTAGAATTTATTACATAATAGTTTGACTCTATTACATAGTTTCAATAAAAAATTCAAATAATAACGACATCCAAAATTAACTGAACGTAACATATTTTCTTAGCAAAGCTGTTTGTATAACAGCACTGAGTGACATTTCACAAAGTATCAGATATAAGACTTCATCCTTCTAATTACTGTAACTCAAGTTGTTCTGTTCCAAGGCCATGCTTGTTCTGAGACTTAGTCACGTCTATTATCATGTCAGACGTGAAACAAGACAACACTGTCGAAAACACTGATGAAAACTAGTTTATAAATTGATATTTTATTCCGTAAAATCACAGCATATCTTTACTGGGTGAGTGTAAGTTTCTAAAACTACATGTGTTATTTGTCTAAATGGCTAGTTTACACAGTTTCATCCGAACAGACACGAAGATCATATAATATTGTCTTCTACAATAAAGATAAATATGTAATCAAATATTGAATTTATGCCACTATGATGAATTGAAGAATATATTTTTACCTATATAACACAGGTTATGTAAATAACAATCACAAAACTACGTATTCACAATATAAAAATGTTCGCACTATAAGTTAACAACATATATATACAAATATACCGATAATGACAACACAGAAGAAACAATTTTGTTTTAAATGTTATGTTATTGATAATAAGTTTATACGATTTCATTATAGTTAGGCTAAACGGCTTAGAATGATCCCAAATATAATCTACAAGGAATTATGAATTAATCTTGTTACATATAACATTTTCTAAAACACTTGATGAAAATCGTCTATTCAGTATACACTAATGTCACCAGTTCAAAAAGAAAAACAAACGCTGTAAAATTAATTCAGTTATTTTTCTTGCCTCAATAGATTTAGGAGTATAACTTTTCAGCAAGTAAACTGATATATACTTGTTGTATGACTGTTCCATCAGTTCATACGCAGTACTTTTACCGTTAATGCAGTAACATCTCGTATATGACACTAGTTACGTTTTATATAAACAATATCAGCTCACCAGTGTATAGTCCAGATGCTCTCACAGTATTGCCAACAATAATTTCTTCACTAGTCATTGAGTAGGCTTGCGAGATCGCGGCAGAACATCGTAGTTTCAGCACATTATTCACCAAATGTGAAGGTTCCACGATAAAATGTAGTCCCAGCTGGCTGCTCAGAAGTCCGTCACGATATCGAACAAGCGGAGCAAGCCAAACAAAGGATGGTGGAGCCTATTTCGAAAAGAAAATGTTTTATCACTTTTCGAACCTTAAAGCTTGATTATAGACTTTTCATCAATTCTTCCAACTGCATAAAGACAGACATCGAATTTTTAAATACAACATTAAAATACCCGAGTTTTAAGTAAAATTATGACTGTAATGGGTGCCACGGAAATGTTGGATTTTTTATCCTTGGAAGTAATAAATATAACTAGGAGATTTAACATGATCAACTTGTAATTAATTTTAACTTAAGTCCTCTTTATGCGAGAAATGTATGTAAATTATTGGAGGCCTTTGTTCCTTTCCAACTATTTTTGATGTTGAAGCAGAAATAAGAAATCTTACAGATTTTATAGCGGTTCTTAATTGAAGTACAGTCTATTGAGCACAGCATTACTTAATCTTCAAATCTGACCTATCACCAAGCTACATAACTCATCACAAATGACATAAAATACATTAAAAGAAACAGACAGACATATTGATATCTTCATGACATTATAATGTCAGCGTCTTTAGTAATAGAAAATAAATCGATTAAGTGCAAGTACTAGATTCAGATTTTGAATAACCCATTCGACAGCCCATGTGTAAATCGGATAATTCTACTTTTGTTTACAAGTTACGATATAAGAAAAACATTTGAATGACAAAAAATGTGCCACAGAATTAATAAATTGTTTAACTTGTATAAATAAAACTTATTGTGCTTTTGCTCTTATAATATACTGGTTGACTCCTGTCGTGGAATATTAGTAAACGATGACGAGGAACCCACTTTGAGACTAATAACACTTGGAGACGGCTTGAATGGGTAATGAAGAAACACTTTAATATAAGTTTTAACATAACATCAAATGTACAACGTTTCGACAAGGTTTTTTTCATAATCAGGTACCATGTGCTAGAACAACATTTGAACATTTTTTGACATTTCTTAGATAGTGTGACGCCACCAAAAACTGATCGATTTTGGGAATGGCATGTGACAGCCCTTTTCGAAGCAAAATGTTCCCACATTCAGATCATAAAGATGTTTTTAGATTGGGAACTTAGTATTTCCAAGATGGTGATGTTTCATTTACTTAACTGCTTTGGAAAACAAAGAAATATGGATCAACTTGATGCACCAGTACCATCCAGAAACATACCTGCAACAAGGTGTACCCTAGCCATGGTAAGCAAGTGCGACAAAAACCATCTAGTGCCCCTGGGAACATTACCTAACGTAATCAAGGAAGATGTACACGTCACGTCTACACAACTTGCTTCTATGCCATATCCGTTAAGTGTTGGCATACCTTAAGCATCTGAAGAATAAAACGGGTATTAATGCTATTCCATAAGAAGACATAATTGTCATGTCCAAAATGATTTCTGTGTGATCAGCCTATTTGAAACTGGCGCTTGGAAACAGTCATATTCCTATACTAAATAGATTATGGAAAGCACAAGGAATTAGGGTGGTACTATGGGCGTGGCAGTCTTATGACGGAGCCTTTTACAATAAAAACTACGTTGCAGAGCTGTAGATATGGTACCAGGTCGCTAGACGTGGTGACATGGATCGTTACGAAGTGGTGAGGCTCCAAAATCGTTTTAACATAACTTACTTAACCTCCTTAGATTATACCCGTATCAAATAAAACATTTGTGTGTAAGTGGTCAGAGGATGGATAGCAGAGACTGAGGAATTTTTATTTTTTTTCATGTATTCGAAAGTTAATTAGCTTTTCATGTTTAGTGAAATTTTAAAAGTAATGTAAAAACAATGAGTTGCGTAAAAATATTTATCAGTCATTTTATTTCAGTGGAGGTTGGTTAGAATGATATAACAAAACTCATTTGGTCTCTGTACTCCTTATGAAACACAATTACAAAAAGTAAAACATGAAATAAAGATGGAATATATATATATATTTCATGATAATCTCAATGAAAATGTAACTCTGTCTAGAAGATAATTTATTTTGCGTTTTGTTGTACGTCATCGAACCACAAAACCAAGTATCAAATGTTTTGTATTATTGTGCTTATTTCTTTCGGAATAACTTCATTTTATACACAACTATCTACAATATGAATAGCAATACTTTTTTCTCAATAATGTAAAAGCCCACATTTGATTATCAAATTGGCACAGAAAACTGATAGATCATAATTAAGTTAAATCGTTTTTCAATAAGATTAATTAAAGTTTGATGCCAAAAACGATATCTTATGCTGGTGGGCGACTGTTTTTCTAATTTACTAATTTTGAAACAGTTAATTATTATGCTTTGTTTTGCTGTCAAGCAAAGCCAAAAACTGGGCTATCTGTGTTCTGCCCACTTCGGCTATCGAAACTGAATTTTTGTTCTGAGATTTACTGCTCAGCAACTGGCAATTATTACTGTAATTATAAATGGAAAATTTACTTCATGTTCTCTACAAATCTATAAATTTTCATGAGAATTACATTACTGTTAGATGAAAATTAATTCTCGACAAACTTCTAAAGGCCATTATTAAAAGTTCTAACTACAAGATCATATTTATTTATTTTATTTTAATTTTCGCGCAATGTTACACAAAGGTTGTCTGTGCATTCGTTTGTAATTTTAAACTGATAAACTAGAGAGAATGCAGCTAACCAACAACACCCATCACCAAATCTTTGGCTACTCTTATTGACCGAATATTAGAATTTTCTCTTCACTTTTGCAGTGTACTTGCACTCCCAATATGGGAGGCGTGTTTTGCGGAAACAGAGCACAAGACAAGAAACATGGGATTCACGTTTTGGGCACGCTAACCAGTAGGCTACACCTGGCCTGAATTTACGAATATATAAGAAGAGCATATTTGTAAAAACTGAGCCCAACAAGTTTCACAGTTTCTTGATGCTACAATTCAGGATTCATTCTCCGTAGTGGAAAGAGCACAGATGCTTTATTTTGTAGCTTTCTATTATAAACATTCCAAGTCCCTTCTTTATGTTACGCTGATCATCTTTAGTAATGATGGTCAGTTTGTTTAAATACACAACTACACGAATATTTGTGCTCTGTTTATCGAATCGAATCCCAACTTTAGCGTTATAAGTCTGTAAGTTTACCAGAATGATTTGCAAATCCCACTACTCAATCAGAGTAGCCCACAGTTGGTGCTTGGTGTTTTTAATTAGCTATCTTCTTTCTAATTTACCATTTCAAAATTATGAGCGGCTAGCCCGGTGTAGCTTTGCGTGAATATCCGAATTAAACAAGTAAACAAAAAAAAAGAACAACAAACAAACAGAAAATAATATATTACAATGTGATGAACTGTAAAATAACTTAATTTTCGTTTTGTCTTTAAGACAAAAGTATTTCCCAAGAAACGCATGTTTTGTCACATCATTGTACAAAATATGATTTAAATCATGTCACACATTAAACGGCCTTATAATTTGCTCTGCGCTATGTTCGGAGTTATAGCAAGTGAATGTTTTCATCTCATTGAACATTTAACTAGTGAAATATATAGCATAAACTATTAAGTGTATGAAACGAAAAAATACAAATCTGTTTGAAATTTACTTAATGTATTAAAAGCTCATTATTCACTGGTAGTATGGACTGTTATTGTTTGAAAGTTATTCAACATTTCGAGTTTAAAATAATTTAACCAATCCAAACTAAATTTACACAATTTATTCAAATTGTTTAATCTAACAACAACAACAACAAAATTTAAGCTAATTTCATCCAGGGGTTAAACCTGTCTATAGTATAGTGTAAGATAGTTATTCGTTCTTATTATTATAATTATAATGTAAATGTTACAGTCCTAAGACTAGATTTTTACTAATAAATAAGTGTTAATGTATCAACTAATAATATTACATTAATAAGGACGAAGTTATGCATTTTATCAGCTTTCTCCAAGTTTCATTTTAAATTTGTGATGCTACTGTCTGCGTTCTCTGTTTCGGAATTAGATTAGCATATTATTTAAAATATGCTGTTCTTAATGGTTGGTTATATGGTTTCACATTAAAAACATAGGTCTTGTAACAGGGGAGTTAAGCCTATAGGTATTATCCTTTAAATAATATTTTATACAGAATACTAGGCTAGTCTCAAAACGACCAACATTCAATATTAGCTGATGTTTCATTAGAAAGTTTATATTCTAATCTTTTATACTGAACAAATCGCAACTGCAATATTTTGGATTCCAAATATAATACTTACCTCTTCCTCATTAATATGCCATTTCAAAATTGCAGCAGGTTTAGATGGTGCAGCATGACAAGTGATGTTAACCTCGTCTCCAATTTGATATTGAAACTTTGTCCCTATAATCCTAGGGCCTCCTTTCGGTAGAACTGAAATATTTAAAATAATATGGATTCCTCTAAAGAACTGGCTTACTATAATATGTTGTTTATATTAAGAGTTCAACCATTATTTCTAGATACGGAATAGAAGAGGTGAGTCATATAGCACGTAGCAAAGATTATATATAAAATTGTTTTTGTTCTGAGAGTACACTAACGCTGTGCCATTATTTCCAGCTTCTTTTCCCAGACTATGTGTTGGCATCTACTTACATCACCACACGTGTAGAATAATGTCGAAATAGATAACTAGATTTTTTCTTATATTGTAGTTCATGAAAGAAGTGCCTACTCATATGGATATTCCAAAGTTGTTCCTATCAAAGATGGAAAATGTTTTATCCTTTAGAAACAGAAAAATAACGAGTAAAGTAGAAAAACCTCGTAATAATGCTCAATGCGTAGCATATGTTTAAATCTCTTTCTCTTGTTATCTATCTATTTGTCTGTTATTCTATTTGTCAAAAACTGCTTTCAACACAAACACGTCTTTTGACGTCTGATAACCGATAAAGCGAAAAATATTTTCAAAGATCCGTGCGCTAATCCTACTTGTATACAATAATTTTGAGAAATACACGTGTTTCCTACTCTGCACAGTTCATTACGTTTGTGTGTGAATAATTCCACCTGCACAGATAGACATAAAGTTATCCATATGTCGTTGAGATTGGCGTGTACCACATTATCGGAAAAAATACATTAACAGAAAATGACTGAAAAAAATTATAAAACATAAAGCAGATAGATCCGTAGTTGTGTTAACGCCAGAACTTGCAGTCATACAGCATTATTGTGTGTTATAGGAAACGATTGGGTTTTGTTCCTGTTGTCATGATTTATATATATATATAAAACAGTTAATATATTTAAGTTCCTCTATTTCTAATTATCGATTTAGGGTATATCTCAGTCATTCTTTAAAACTCTTTATCGTTGTTTTGCAGTATGGACTGGTTAAGTTAGATTTTCACTTCTAAAAATATATATTATTCTAAGACAGTCAACCTGAAAGCCTAATTTTAAGAAAACCTCTGTATAACTTTTCAGAACTGCCGAATAATCCAAAACAATTAAACTCAAAATTTTTCAGTTAGTATAATTACTTGGTTTTGAGACGGCTATGTAATTATATAGTCCTTCTTAGGAAATTTTAGGTATAATAGAGGGCGTTTTAAAAACTGTCACCGATTGTATTCACTATGTATTCATTAAATGATCCTAATGATAACATCTTCTATTCTGGACAGTTTGTTGATCCTCACAACATCCTGCACGCTGACACGTATTTAATTCAAATCATCAATTTGTACTGTTGAAGGAAAATGGAAATAAAATACATAAAAGCAATATTAGTATGCTAGTTGAATATATATTAATATTAATTGTGTATATCTATATATATATTGGTCTTTCCTAACTTGAATTTATGAAATAGTATACAGAAGCTGGTTTGGAGGAAGCTAGCCTTCAATTTATATAGAACCAACTAGAACAGAAAACGTGCCCTTTTTAGGAAAAAATACCTCTTTCATTCACTTATCTCAAAAAGTTGTACGTAAAAATTAATAAATAAGCACTGTCAAAGAATCTGTTTTTATATGATATCATTTAAAACTAGTTATATAAACATTTATAGTATCTTCTGTAAGAATCTGTTTTATATGATATAATTTAAAAACTAGTTATATAATCATTTATAGTATCTTCTGTAAGAATCTGTTTTATATGATATAATTTAAAACTAGTTATATAATCATTTATAGTATCTTCTGTAAGAATCTGTTTTATATGATATAATTTAAAACTAGTTATAT